GTTTGCATAGTTTATTTTTCATATTGCACCAGTACAGTTAATGAGCAACCTGTACTTGTGTGCTTGTTTGTTCTGTCTAAAATGTTTATTTTGGAATAAAGAGGTTAATATAAAAAATATTTTTTGTCCGATTCATCGATTAATCGAAAAAATAATCGGCCGATTCATCGATTTTTAAAATAATTGTTAGTTGCAGCCCTACTTTGAATTGAAAACCGCTCTTCCCTCCACCATATTTCTTCCGCTCCGGTCCACCGCTCACTCCGCTCACATGATCTGGCGCCAATGAACAAACTGCTTTCCACGATCGGCTCTTGTTTTTGGATCATTTTCTCGTTTTCTCTTTTTAGCCTCCTCAGAAGGTTTAAACTTTTCCCTTGCCTCAGCCATTGGTACCTGATGAGGCGTAAAAATAGTAGAACAAAAGCCTCCATATAAGAACCCGTGGCCATAAAGCGGTACGTTCTTCCAGGTCACATGTAACACCGGCGGTGAGTCTTCCCCAAACTTACAAAGGCAGTATTTTAAGGCGTCTTCACTTCCTGACCTTCTATTTCACTGCTTGCTAAGCGGCTGTGGGGAGATCTTTAAGCCACATGGTAAAAAATGCTTCAGAAAAGATCTCCTAATGCACCTTTAAATATGTGCAGTGTGGATAGAGGCTAAGTTCAAACATTCCTTCATATTTTTTTTGTATTTTTTTTTATATTCTGTAGGTTGATGATCTGTTTGTTTTAATGCTAGGCTCTTATAGATAGATGTCAGTATTAATCCCTGCATGACTTGGTTATCTTCTCTCAGGATGAGAAGAAAGAGGAGGAGGATTCTGTCAACAAAAGGCGACGGAGAGGAAGCAGCTACCTTACTGAGGTGTTTGTCTGCAGAAGTCTGTTGAATTTAAGCAGCAATGAAACATAAAGTTCAGGTTAAAGTAGCTCTCTGTTATTCATCTGACTCTTCTCTGGCCCTCAGTTGTCCTGCCAGAGTGCGCCACCTGCTGGTGAAGATGGAGAGCTACGGGAGAACAAGGTCCGCTCCATGGCCACTCAGCTGCTCGCCAAATTTGAGGAGAACTCTTCAGTGGGGAAGGCGCCCACCAAGGTGAGAATAACTTTACAGGTCCGGTTTGTTTGCTTTCTTTCCTAAAACGACAAAACTGGACCGAAGAGGCTTCCAGCCTGGTAAAAAGCTACACCCAGAGAACCAGCTGACGCTCAGATTCATTCAAAGGTTTATTTATAAAGGTTTTGTAGCTTAATGTGACAGATTGTTTTGATGCTATGTTGTCTTCATCTCATGTCATCTCTTTTTGCCCTTTGGTTTGGCCTCTGAAGGTTCTCTCCTTTTTTTTTCTAACTTTTAACATTTCTGTTTCCTTTTTCATCATGACACAGTCTGAGGATTCCTCTAGTCCTCCTCCTTCTCCTCCTCCTCCTCAGTCCCCTTCCACCACCTCTTCATATTCTGATGAAGAGGAGGAAGAGGAGGAGGAAGAAAACCCCCGTTTTGCTAAACCCAAAGCTACCCCTCCTCTTTCTCCTCTTCCTCCATCTCGTTCCAGATGGCAGGTACGTTTGTCTCCAAACGTCCCCTTTCTTCCTGTGTTTTAGAAGAAAAGGGTTGATTTACCTCTGGGAACTCATCCTTTGTCCTCTCCTGGTCCTCCTGTTTCCAGCCTTCGATCTACCTTCGGTTGCTGGAGAATCCCAGCTGTGTTTCTCAGCAGAGCGGTTTCCTCTCTACTAACGGTTTACCTCTGAATCCAAACACTCGCAGTCATTCTCCACCATCCTCTGACGCTCAGAGCTCAGTAAACGCTCATGGCTCTGAAGGTTATCACACAGAAAGCTCCCATCCCGACTCCCCAACATGTCCTGATTCAGGTTCTGCTCCCTCCGCCTCAGAAGCAGATCCGTCCTCTGATTCGCGTGCGAAGCAGGTGAATTTAATCCAACCTTTAAATACTCCCCCTCCACCACCATACACCTCGTCTCTGTGTATTTTTCCCTCTGATTCCACTTTCTTCTCAGAATAAAAACCAGAGGTTGTCGACCAGAGAATTTTCCCGGAGGAGCATAAAAGACAGAGCTGTCCTCTTGTCCACCATGTTTCATGGGTCCAACAAACCGCCTGCTTCTCTCACTGTTTCTCAGGTTCTGTATCAGATCAGTTACTTGTAAAGCAGTGCGATTAATCAGGATTAACATCGGTTTCTGGCTTATTAGTTAAAAAAAAGGGACCACAATAACAACCAATGTTTATTTTCATCCAGTTTATTTTTCATAACATGCAACACTGTTAGCGATGAAGCAAAGGATTGTGGGTGTTTATTTAACTCCCATAACTCTGACATCTGTCACTACCCGATCTGTTCCTGTAGCACGATCCGTCCTGTGCATGCACGAACAGATATACGTCCGGGTGTCCATAAGTAATGTAATTATGGTACTAAAATTACTTACTTTCTATCTTTAACTCACTGAAGAATGCTGAAACACATCTTTAAAAAATGTTCTATGACTTTTGTGAGACAATATTCATGCTTTTTACATTTTCTTCGTTAAACTGCTTCTCTGACATCATCATCAGGCATGCACAGAGCAGTCTGGTAAAATATGATTAAATCATGTTTATCTGCTTTTAGTTGCTTCTTTCTTTAGATTATGTACTATATAGCATAAGGTTAAAACGAAACGAAAACATAAAACTCAAAAACATTAGATTTATGTTTAAATCCAAAGCCGAAAAAGTTAGCTACCGGAAGTAGCGTAGGATCCCATTTCCTGTGCAGATCAGGCAGAGACGAGTGATAAAACACAAAAGATTTTAAGGCATTTATTTTCTAAAGCAATACATTATTAAGATTTAACATGTTATATTTTAGTACGTTTAGTGTTTTTGGGGAGGGAAAATGTCATTTAGGTATTTTTTAATAAAATAAAATGAAAGCCGACCCGGATGCATGTCAGATCGTGCTTTTGGGACAGGATCGGGTAGTGACAACATTTAACCAAAAGAAGGCAAATTTATTGATGATGTCATCGACTCACATGGCTCTAGTGCCCATTGTGAATATATAAACCTAATATCGAGACCTGAAATGGAAAACTTATTATAGCCTGATAGATATGCTATTAATATTTTTATTATTTACATTCAATGATTCTAATTTGTGTAAAATATACAGTTTCATTTTCAATGCAATATTTTAACTACACACATTTTTCACGTAATCACGTAAATTCATTGACTTGGACAGTAGATGTAGTAATTGATACCTTATAACAATGAACAGTTCTAAACTGTAAATAGTGATGAACATTTTAAGAATCTAAACATTTGACAAGTTGAACAACAAAACAAAAACATTTACAGAAAGTAGACAGATGCAATTTTGGTCTGTTAAAATCACATCTCCTGTGCAGATCAACCCTCCACTGCTTGGGGAGCTACTGTATAGATCTAAATCTATTAGATTAGGTATCTGTATACTTTAGCCGATAATGTTACAAATAGAACACTTGTTCATATTATAATCCTGTTATCCAAACCTTAAACAGTGGGCGAGGGGGGGTTGATCTTCAGACTCGTTATCAGAGTCTTTGCTGCTTCCTGCTGACGAGCTCATCACCTGGTTCTAATCTTTGCCCAAATCAGCATCTGTCCCTCCTTCACTGTTTAAGTTCTTCTAAAAAGGATTTTAGCGACAGCATTAGCTAAAAAATTCAAGAGTGTCCATGTTAGTAACAAAGGGTTTCAGCCATATTGTGAGTATAATTATCGGACGACGATTCGGACAGAATTTTAATATCTGTGCATTCTTAATTACCTAAATTAAACTGATCCAAAATGTTTGTTAAAACTGTTTTTCTGCATTTTACCTTTGCTTAAGTCTGAGGACTAAATCCAGGTTAGTAATAAATTTAGAAATATGCAAACTGCTTTATCCACGTAGGTTTTTAAAAGGAGGAATAAAAAGGAAATCAACAACACTAAATTATACAGATTGAATGTTTGTTATATAAATCAGTGTAATAAAAATGGTAGGGATTTTTTTTTTTTAAGTTTAAAGGTCCAGTTTTATTATATGCTTAAACCAAAAAGACCAAAATCCAGTTCATTATAATAAAATAAGGCTATATAGAGGATGTACAGCTGAAGTCAGCCAATCCCCCATAACTCCTCTTTCATGGACCACAAAACAAACGGACCATGCATGAAAAACAAGTATAGCAGCTATTTCTGTTTTTCTCCAATTTACCTTAAAAATACCAGCAAAGTCATGGTAAACTCGTGCTCGGTCAGCATATGGGCGAAGCAACAAAAACCACGGCATTCCATTTTATTGCTTTCCTAAAGACGCAGAAAGGCGAGCGAGATGCATGAAGAGATGGAGCTGGAAGCAGAATCTTGTACTAGTTTTTTTTCCACAACCACACCAGGAGTTTCACACTCGCTCGCCTCCATTTTTCAGCTTGTTAACCAATCTTACACATGCACAGCGACATAATCCTGGTCACAAGATGTTATGGTAAATATGCACAGAAAGGCTATGTTTATTCACCAATTGAGCAAAAAACAAAGCTTAAAAAGCAAAAACCATAAATACTTATAAAGCATTGATTTGTGTATAAGCGTAATTTGTCATAAAAAAACATTTCATGCAACCAAAGTGGGTTACTGGCATAAAAAAGGTAAAATAACGGGACTAAGAATCATTTAACCCGAAATAAAAATCAAAACATTTCAGGTTGGAATAACTGAGCGGCTAAACTTAAGTTGTTGTTATCTAGCACTAGAAGTTATTTATGCTTCCATATTTTCATAATTTCAACATTCTTTTAATGAGAAATGTATATTTTTATATCTTTAAAATGGGTAGGGATTGGTAAAAACATTGTTTAGGATATTTTAATCAGTTATTAATTAGGAAGCAGTTTTCTTTCCTTTCTAACCGCCGTCTGGCTTTGCCTCTGTAGGTGGAACCGTCTACCTTCTCCTCTCCTTCCTCGCCCTCTCCTCCTCCTCTGTCTCCATCTAAAAGCTCCGCCATGTTCCCTGCGGTCCACCCTGTTCCTGATCCCACCGCTCAGCCTGGTTTCTCTGCTCCTCCAAACACCTCTGAACCTAAAGAGCTCCCCTCTCCTCAGCTCTGCTCCCAATCTGAAAAAACAGAGCAAAGCTCTTCTTCTCCCCCTGATTCCTTTACATCAAGTGACGAAACGTGTTCTTCTATCTCTGCACCCTGCATTAATCCTAATCTGAATATATTCACTAATCTTAAAAGAATAAGCGAAGGTTCCCAGAGGAAAACTGAGCAACAGAGGGCTCATGGAGATGATTTCAAAAAGGCTGAAAAGGATCCTGCTAAGGTAACAGGTTTCTTTTACAAATTAGATAAATATCTCATCATTTTTAAAACACTATTAATGAAACACAATATCTTTGGCCCTAAATCCATACATTTTTCTCTTGTCAATTTCATGTTGAAATATTTCTCAAAAGTATTTAAAAATATAATTTATTAAAGTTCTTTAAACTACTTTTTGGATTTAAATGATGTTAAAGTTAGTATCTAACATTTATCATATTAAAACATTTTTATGCCCATAACTGCTGCAAAGCTCCATGTATTTTTTCTATTTTATTTATGTATTGATAGAGAAAAAAGGCAGAATTCTGACTTTAATCTTTGAATCCTGAGATTAAACTTGGAATTCTGATTTTAATCTCTGAATTCAAAGATTAAATTCAGAATTCTGACTTTAATCAGAATCAGAATTCAAAGATTAATGTTGGAAAGATTAAAGTCTTGGAATTCTGAGATTAAAGTCAGAATTCCGACTTTAATGTCAGAATTCAAAGACTTTAATCTTTCCAACGTTAATCTTTGATTTCTGAGATTAAAGTCAGAATTCTGACTTTAATCTTTAATCTTCGAATTTTGAGATTAAAGTCAGAATTCTGAATTTAATCTTTGAATTCTGAGATTAAAGTCAGAATTCCTACTCAGAATTCAAAGATTAAAGTGAGAATTCCTACTTCAATCTCAGAATTCAAAGATAAAAGTCAGAAATCTGACTTTAATCTCTAAATTCTGAGATTAAAGTTGGAATTCTGACTGTTTTCAATGGAATGGATTAAAGCCACTGGGGGAAGAAAAATGTTAACAGATTTTTTATTTTGAGTTTAAAATGGGAAAGGTAAAGGTATAAGTCAGGATTCTGACTTTTTTTCTAATAATATTTCTGTCAGCTTGTTTATTATGGAGGATGCAGGCCATTATATTCCCATACTAGCTCTCATTTCTGATATCAACATTGGATTAAGACATTCCAATAAATAAGCTGAGGAATCAGAAGAATAATATGTGAATTCATTTTCTGTGTGATGTTCGTTTAGTCTGTCACCAGTGATGGTGAGAGCCCCAGGAGAAATCCTCCTAAATCCCTAGTCCGCTCTGACAGCTGTCCCTCTGGAGCTCCTAGTTACAGTAAGGAGGTACAAATCCAGACTTCAGCTCAAATGCAGTTCAGTGATACATCCGTCTCTTTCTATGCACAAACTTCTCTTTTTTTTCTGCTCTCTTTTGTTGTTGTTTGTATTTTTTTTCTAACTTCCTAAATACATTCTAGAGAGTAGTGGGAAAAGTATCATCAGCAATAAATGCAAAAGCTCAGATACTGGCCGTCCTTTATGAGACAGACCACAGGCCCAATGCGCCGCCGGTAAGATGCATGTGGAAGGTTTAAACACTAACATCAACTAAATACTAATAACATTTGTGAAGACTTGACTTTTCTAACCAATAATGTTCAGATTGCTTGATTTAGTATTATTTCCAAGGAATTTTAAAACTTGGAAATAAGAGGAAGCCTTAGAAAATGTGCTTTAGAAGTTTAAACTTTTTAAACAAAAACCCCAAAAAAAGGGTTTTTATCGATGTTGACTCGCACAGCTGAGCTCCGAAGATGAAGTCAATTTATCAATCAGGTCTTCAGCACCATGACGCCCCAAAGCTAATTCAGCATCATAACACGGAACCATCCTCCAGATGGTCCGGTTTGACTCAATCACCAAACCAGTACAGGTCTGCCTCAGAAACAGGTTTTAGTTTCAAGCACAGGCGTAACTTTCTGAAGGACTGGTATGGACATGTCCCCACCAATCATTTCCAGGTTTTTTTCTTTTCCCTTCATTTACTTTAGCCAAACGTAATAGAGTTGGGTGCAGCTATCGGTTCAGAGCGTTTTGAGTCCGTGTTTTTATTTTTCCTCTCTTGTGTCCCGCCTCTTGGTGTGACATCATCAGATCTGTCGCTTTGAGACACCCGATTTGCGTAGGTTAGAGGAGAGACACACAGCAGCACTCTGTGAATATTAACCAGCAGCAACTTCAATGTTTAAGTAAAAGAAAGGTTGGTTAAAAAAATTAGAGATCATACCACTGAAAAATTTGTTTGCTTGACATACAGAGCTTTTTCAGCTAAAAATGGCAACAGATTGTAAGTTAATATTATAACGCAAGAAGCTTGAGAGAACATAGTTTGTTTTTCTTTACTGTAAAAGCTGGTCCTCTCAGAGGACCATGACCCCAGTTACAGGTTAAAATTAAAATGTTTGCTTATTGAACAGACAGAATCAGACTGCAGAGCTTCTACATATCTTGAAATTTAGTTTCTGGCATCATTATATCAGTAAATGGGTTCACAAATCTTTTTTAAACAGAGCAGAGAGAGAAGTAGGGAGAGCTGCAGATTTAAAGGTGAAACAGATTTACTGGGATATGCAACATGCAATAAAATATAGCTCCAAATTTCCCACAAAGTTTACAACAAAAAAATATGGCATGCTATATTTAAAATGCATCATATCCATATTTTTCTTAATGGATGGAATTCAAATTGTACTTCTAGGGATGATATATCGATTTTGGCATCGGAATCGGCTGTTATTCATTATATTTTTCTACATTAATGTTTTTGGGCGCTTTATATGCAATAAAAGACATCTCTAACTATCTATAATTATAAATATCAGTGTATTGTGGTTCTCTTGTGTTGTCAACAATAGGAAAGCATTCAGTAAATATATGTTTAAGCTCATTTTTGGAAAATACAAAAACCTAATTAAAGCGTTTGGGTGGAGTAACTGTCGGTCCATCAGCCCCCAACCGTAGTGTCCCCACCAATTTTTATCACAAACTTACACCCTTTTTCCTTCTCACACCCTTCAATGCAGTTTTTTTTATTTTGCTAAATAAATTCTGCTTTGAAAATAATTAATCCTTAAAAATCTCTCCATCCATCGATAGATTTGCTAAATGCTTCTGACATAAATCATTAAAATGATCCCTGATCTAGTTATGTTGTTAATGAAGTCCATTACTGAGAGCAGTGGACAGAAAAACAATAAATGAACTAGTGTTGGTTGAATTTAGAATAGAATAGAATAGAAAATCCCTTTATTGTCCCACAATGGTAAAATTGTGGAACAGTTAAGAAAATAACCAAATAGAATATTGTACTGTACAATGTTTTTATAATATAAATGCTTTACATCTAGAGAATAAATAATATACAGCAGTGGACATTTTTTACAGTAATGGATATTTGAAAAAAGCAGCAACAATAGATGTGCAAAATCAGCATGAATGTAACAACTTATTGAGGTTGTTGGGAACAGTGGTGGTTCTACAGTCTTCCAGCTGCAGGGAGGAAGGATCTGTGATAACGCTCCCTGGTGCATTTAGGGTGCAATACTCTTTGGAGGAGCTTTCCAGTTCCGCAACAGTTTCATGCACAGGGTGTGCAGTGGCTGCTTATTTTGTTCTGGTTCAAAACCAATATATTGTTTGACGAGCTCTAATTTTCTTTCTTGTTGCGTTTCTGACCCATATTGATATATTCTTGTGCATTAAAGAAGTACTCACTACTCCACACAAAGTCTGGCGAAAGACAAACTTTACTTTTCTTTGAGCAGATATTACAGATTTTATAATCTTGCACAGCATTCCACACTTAATGGTTAAAAACTGTAGAGCTCAGTTACCCAAACAATTAACTTTTCTTTCTAAACTGATGTGACACAGCACTGTTCAGATATTTTCAAGCATGTCCTATAGGTGGCGCTTTTCTACAAAAAAAATACAAAAAAGAAACCTTGTTATAAAGAAAATATCGTAATATACAAAAGTTATGAACAATAATAATGTTACAAACTGACATATTTGGCTCTTACAGGGTGTGAGATATTATTCAAATGAGATGTTAATTTAGTTAGGGTCTGTTTGTTTCCCACCTCCGGCTTTTATCTTTTATCTGCATCGGCTGATATCGGCGTTTGCTGATTCGTCAGTGCGTTTAGCAGCTTTACCTTAAAGCGAGTGAAGCATGTCGCTCCCTACATGTGCTCTTCATTAACAATGTTTTGCTTGGTTTGTTTCTGAATATTTGTTTTTTGTTTACAATAAGACTTGATTAAAATTTGTTTTCGTTATGTTATTTTTATTGTGGAAAAAAAGGAAAAGCTTTAGCTTTTAGCTTCAAGCCGAACACAAAACGGTACCATTTTAGCTTTTATGGTCATGTGTAAGAACATTTTGAATTTCTCTTCAAATTCAAAATGATTGTGTTCAAACTAATTATGCTTTTGTAATATTATGAAAATGTTCTGTGTTTGTTTGGGTTTAAAGAAACTAACATCCTTTAAGCCCAGGAAGCTCCTGAGGAAGTTGGAGTTTATAGAGGAAAATGTCTATATGAATATTTTCTGTTTTATCTGCTGAGTTGATACTAATGTTATAAAAATGTTCATTTCAATCAGATTTTCTTCATTTCTTTAAGAATATATGTTATAATGGGTGTGGTGTTTCTGTTTTAACTAACTAGTGGCTTTGCTGTGATTTAAACTGTTCACCTTCAGGTATTTCTGTGTTTTTTTTTTTTTTTTACTCAATGAATCACCTAAAAGCTCTTATTGTCTTAAAGCATTTAATTTGAGGTCTGACATATGCATGAGTGTTTATTATTTTTCTGTAGAAGAGCCCCATAATCTGTGTGCGGTTCATACTTTGTTCTTTCCGTTTTAAATTGATGATTGCAAAAAAAGAAAATAACCATGTCGTTTTCCCATTTTTAAAACCTAAATGCAAACATTTAACATAGAAATAATTTAACCCCAGAAAAACTTGGGCTCACAGTGAGCCTGGTTCTGCTGGAGGTTTCTTCCTGTT